GTCTGTATGCTGAGTTTGCGTTGCAGCCTTTGAGATGCCGCATGCATCACCTCCAGACGAGAGGTCAACAGTCGACGATGCCCAACTCCCTGGCTGTAGTCGGTCGCACAGGCAGTCGCAAGTCTCCTTTCGCCTGTTGATCGGTCGACACCGACGGAACGGGTACAATGGGTCTTGGTGACGGATGGTCACTGTTGAAAGCGGGGACGTTTTTTGAGCCTGTGAATGATTTCGTCGATTCATGCCTTTTGTCGGTTCCTGCGGCCTCGTCGTCGTCGTCGTCGTTGTCGTAATTGCACCACGGGCCGGTTGGCGGCTGTGGTCCAATTTTTTGATCGATGATCGCCAGTAAAACGATTTTAACTGCTGCCGGCCCAATTAGCCGAGTCGGTAATAAATAATTTCAATTAGAGGGCAAACCGCTATCACCGCTTAAGCGCTGCTTAAACAGGAGGTCGCCGGCGGCGCGACGGCACCGGCACCGGAAATGACCGTGACTAATCCCTTGGCGCATAACTTCACATGTCCATGGGTGGGTTCCGGCAAAGGTAGCAGCTACAAGACAGTCCATGCCACCAGAGGGCAAGAGGCTCCGGTAGCACCGACCCGACTAGAGACGGTGGCGGACCGAGGACGACTCCGTCGTCTGTCCATCGACCATCCTCCATGACGTTTTCACATAGCCAGCCGCAGAGTATCCACCTGGATGGTGAGTACACGAGGTGGTGAGAAGCCATTGCATGCGGCAGATCTGATTTTGAACCAGTGGCTACTGACATCAACTGACCATTTCATTCGACTCGCCGCTCCTACGTCAACAGGACGCCAGTTCACTCATGTTATCAACCGTGCTCAAATGACGCATGCGAACAGCTGATTCCAGGAACCTGTGAACACGATAGTGCAAAGAGCAATCAGTCGCGAGCTGATTCGTCGAATTATCCATGAAACGAACGGTTTGGCCCGCTGGTCAGCTGCTTATGATTAGATAACGAGCGACGACGGTTGGTTATTCGTGATCGCTCTAGTGGTTATTCATCGGTCGTTATTCATCCTCGCAAAACTGTAAGGAAAACGATCAGTACAGATAGTGCGATCATCTGTCGTTCCTTGAAACACAAGAAGAACGAGTTCCTCATGGGGCCTCATCGATATCCAGTGGCAGTGATGCTAATTACTGCCTAAGGGTGACTGTTCGACCAGCAAGTAGTTGTTAGAGCTTCAGCGTCGAAAACCTTGAATACCTGATGATCCTAAATATGCCTGTTGCAATGGTTACTGCTCGAAGCCCAAGGAATTTGTGACAGATAGCTAGACTCACTTTCAGGGTTTCTTCGATACTGGCAAAATCACTGTGACAACTACTTTTTGACGTTACATTTAAGCAAGATTGCAACCGGATGTGAGCTTGGAGTTTATTTGAGACTCGGGATGATCAGAGGAAGAATAGATCAGGGTGGCATAGACGACTTAGACATATGCATCTGCAAAATAAAAGCGCACTAGATAAATCTAGTCATTAATCCATGCGTGAATGTCCCTCTCTGTGCTGAGGGTGAAGAGGGTGAACAGCATGATGAAATGTTTTGATCGTACTCCATTTGAGAACAAGTCGAAGAGAGCTACCGAATCTTTCCGCGTAGTTTTGTAACCAGATCACACCTCAACTTCTATTCAGGCATACCAGCTGTTGTTTTCACCTGCTTTTGTCTGGCCAACGTAAGAATCACAGGAAACAAATTCATTTGTTTCAAAGTCCATTTTATTAACATGGCCACTAGCATTCTTCCGTTCGAGCCTGCTTACTGTTGTCTGTTGCAAGACGATGTCTACGAGTTCCGTTTAAACGCTGCTCAACTACTGTTTGCATTTTTCCATTCGAAAAAGATATGCAAGAACTGCCTGTCCGATCATAGAAGACAGCAGATGGTACAACATCACTGCTAATGGCCAGATGAGACCCAGCGCTTCATGGTCGAGGTATCCGGCTGTTTGCCGAAGGTTGCATGAGGGTAAGCAACAAGGGGTTCGAGTTCGAGTATGGTGACGTGAGTTGCGGGCCACAA